CGTGTGTGACTTGATAAGGCACTTAATTGAGAAGAGGCCTTCCTAATTGCATTCAGTGAAGTGAAATGCCCTCTGAATAAGACCATTTATTGGTTAAATCACATTACTAGCAGAGTTATAAATCAGAATCATCTAAATCTAATGAGATCTACAGACTTCTCTTATATCTTCTGTGTACTCAAAATCTGTCATGGTGCCTCAGCTTGACTTGAATGCATTCAAATGTGATTGTATTGTACATCTCAGTGTGTAAAGGAAATTAGGAGGATTTTAGATTATTTTGACTAACCGGAGAGGTTAACTTAGCCAATTTGTTTTTGTGTTGTATGACCAACGCCAATCAGATAACCTTATGGATTTTCAGGAAGACAGAAACAAGAGTAGTTTGGGGTCCAGCATGCTGGAGGAGGCATGTGGGAGGCATTTCTGATCAGAAAGAGACAAAAACTGCCTCTCACCACATTTCTGAGCCAGATGTTGCAGGTGTTTTTTAGAGATAGCTTTTGTAGTTTCTGTTTGCTGAAAAATAGACCAAAGGACTTCCTACAAAGATGACTCTCGAAGATGGGGGAGTAGAAGGGAGTTCCATTTGACAATGCTGTCCTCCTTTCCCCTACTGCAAACACCACCTCAAGCTTCCTTTCCTGGGGTGTCTTAAGCTCTAACTTGACACTCATTCAGAGACAAGACTCAGTAGCAGAGTCTGAGACCTTCCTTAAATGCCTCCTTTACTGAGACTGCCCTGAATAGTACGATTCCTGCGATGAGGTTTTCCTGGACTGAGCTCCCCCAAGCAACTTTACCTCTTATTTTCCCAGGGTTTCCATGCCAGATTGGAGATGGAAATATCTTCAATTATTGTGGGAAATTGTTTAAAATGTTGTTTAAAATGCAAACTTATTCTTTATTGTGATTGTGTTTTGAAACCATACTCAGCAAATAAATTCTTTCAGGATTTGCTTCAAGGAAGTCCAAATCTCATTCAGGGTTAGATTTGATTTTCAGTGTTAGTTCCTTCCAACAATTGAGATCTAGATATGAGAGACTGAATTAGTTGCTCCTGGTCTACAATCATTTGTTTTATTTTTCTTATCCTTTCAGCCTTTTTTTCTTTTTTCTTTTCTTTATTGTGAAAATACCATACAGAGGGTTTACAATTACATGGGCAAGATGATGAGTACATTTCTTATCAAGCATTGTTGCCTCCTCCTTTGTTTCCCCTTCCCATCCCTTTATACTATGGAGGAGGGACATACAAAGCAACAAAAAAATCATCTTATAAATATGTTAGAAACAATTGCATGAAAGAAAAAAACATTTGAATACTTATCCTGGGGTTCATTTCACCTAACATCAACTTATCTGACCTTTACTGCTTGTCTTAGACATATACTAGTTATTGCAAATAAGGGTAACCATGGGACCTATGTTTCTTTGGGCCTGGCTTACTTCACTTTATATAATTTTTTCCAAGTCTTTCCTTTTCCTAACAAATGGGGTGATGTCATTCTTTCTGATGGAGGCATAGAATTCCATTGTGTATATATACCACATTTTCTTGATCCATTCACCTACTTAGGGGCATCTGGGTTGGTTCCATATATTAGCTATGGTAAATAATGCTGCAATAAAAGTAGTTGTGCTGGTAGCTTTACTATGGTCTTGTTTGTGATCATTTGGGTAAATGCCCAAAAGTGGGATTGCTGGGTCATAGGGGAGCTCTATGTGGAATCTTTTGAGGAACCTCCATACTACTTTCCAAAGTGGTTGAAAAAGTTTACACTCCCACCAACAATGCCCTTCATGCCCACATCCCCTCCAACATCTGTTGTTATTAGAGTTCTTGATTATAGCCATTCTAACAATGTTGTTTTGATTTGCATTTCTTTTATGGCTAGAGAGGATGAGCATTTCTTCATGTGTCTATTGGCCATCCTTCTTTCCTCTTCAGAGAAGTTTCTCTTTAAGTCTTTAGCCCACTTATTTATTGAGCAGTTGTTTCTTTGAAGATTTGTTGTTGGGGGATTTAATTTTTTGAGTTCCAGGTATATTTTAGATATGAGACCCTTGTCCGTTGTCCACAAAGGGAATGCTGTATGGAACCCTACAGGAGGAATGGGAGTCCAAGGAAAACATAACCAGTCAGCTAAGTGATTTGAGAATAAACACTGAACACCAAATTAAGGAAGCAAAGAAGTTCATACAAGATCTAAAACAAAGTTCTAACAAAGATTTCGAAGCCATCAAAGCCTACCAATTAGAAGGATGAGAAATTAAAAACAAAGTAGAAAGTCTTGACAGTAGGTTAGACCATGCAGAAGATGGAATCTCGGGGATTGAAGACAGCCTAGATATTATAGAGAAAGAACATACAACTATCCAAGACAAATCCAAGAAATATGATAGATCTATTCAACATTTGGAAGACACCATCAGAAGGCCTAATGTTTTCAGCCTTTTAACATTAGTGCGTAATATACATGTTTATGCAACAGAGCATGAGAGTCTGATACAATATGTAATGATCAAATTCAGGTAACTGATTAGGGGAGAGAGAATGATAGTTTGAGACACACATGTTGTATATAATAGTGAAATCCAGGTACTTACTGCCTCTTTAAGCATTTATTATTTCTATGTGTTGGAAGCCCTTAGACTCTTCTAGTTATTTAAACATAAAATACCTTCTATCAACACATTACTGTGCTAAAGAATAGGAGGACTAATTGCTTCTCTCTGGGGTCTACTAGCTACAATTTCTTTTTTCTTTTTATTTCTTTTTATTTTTTTATTGTGAAAATACCATACAGAGGGGTTACAATTACATGGGCAAGGTAATGAGCACATTTTTTATCAGGTATTGTTGCCTCCTCCTTTGTTTCCCCTTCCCATCCCTTCCCATCTCCCACCCCCTTTTCCCCTTCTTAATCTTTAGTGAACACAATTCCACTCTCTTCTTCTATGAGATTTATTTTAAGCTTCCACCAATGATTGAGAACTCATGTTATTTGCCATTCTATGCCTGACAAATTTCACTTAACATAATGTCTTCCTGTTGGATTGATGTTCTCACAAGTGACAAAATGTATTCTTTGTTTCCTGGCTGAAATATTGCTGTATGTACATACATTATCTTTTATGTGTCATTTACTATTACATATATTATAACATTATATATTCTTATATTATCTACATTATTATTAAATTTATGAGATAGCATCCCAAGAGAGAAATGTGGGAGAACTCATTTGGTTGTGTGAACTTTCCATATGGTTACTCCAATCCTTGAGTTGTTTTCAAGTCTTTCAGCAAATTCTCCAGACATATCTTGTTTTGTTTTGCTTAAAACCTTCCACTGTTTCTTGTTAGGTACAGAATAAATTTCACATGACTGAACTTGGCATGTGAACTATACTTCCACACTTGAGGCTGGCATGTAGATCAGTGATAGAGCTCTCAGCTGGCATGCACAGAAACTGTGGGTTGAATTCACAGCACCAAAGAAAGTAGCTACCATTCTTGAGCCTCATCCTCTGTCTGTACCCATGGTCACTTTTCCCCTGCATACCTTGTGCATCAACTAAGTTAAATTAATCAATAGTATCAATGTAACAGCTGCCTTTACTTTTTTCCCCTCACAGATTTAAATATTTGTCCAATGTTTATCTTCAGCCACAAGCTCTCTTTCTCCATCAAAGTTTCACATAAATGCTGGCCAGCTTGAATTTTCTCCATTCTCCTGCTTCCTATATTATTACATCTATAAATTTTATGGCCCTTATAATTCTACCTTGTTTTATGGCTTTTATATGCAGGTCTTCTGTGCCCTGTTTTACTCAAATTCATTTTAACTCAGAAAGCAAATCTCCTTGGACCTTGTCTCTACTATGACTTTAGCTGAATGCCTTGCTTATATCAGAGATTAGTAAATATTTATTGGGGTTATAGGCAAATAGGAAACAACCTATAAATTGACAGCATTATGGTTTGGACATTTAAAACTATGGCTACTGTTATATTTCTGTAGGAGCTTTTGGAATGTAGATTTTTTTCATATGAAAATTTAGTAATGCCTATGATTTAGTAATTCAGTATTACAGGGTAAATTGTTATAGAACCATGAATAATTGGGATACTCAGGATCCTGGCTATATTGAATAATTCAATTTTCTGGTTAACTCAGTATTAAAGACAAGATCCTTTTGACTTCATTTCTTGTTGAAAATTTCTTTCTCAAGTATGTTAATTTCTGATCTGAGCCAAAAAGTATCATTAAAATTTTCTTTGATAAGCGAGGATATAAAAATGCCTTTGGGTAATTATTACATACTTTTAATTCTCATTTTACATTGCCATATGTGTAAAGAAAGGTGTTTGGGTTTGGATTGTGTCCCGAAAGTTATTTTCATTTTGCCATGTATGGAACCTTTCAAATTAAGTTTGGGTGGGAATGAATAGTTGATATACCTACATGCATGGTGCAGTAATGGGAATACATTTTGAGAATCACACTAACAGGCAATTTTATATTGTGGAAACATCAAAGAATGTATGACTATGACCCGAGATAGCTATGCAATCAATAAATGATGTAATTTTAAGGGAATATGGTTAAGTAAGTAATCTGTTTTTATCAAAATGCTTCCAGGCAATAATAATATATTTTTATATCTATGACCATAGAAAAAAAACTGTAATCAATGCTTTAGATAGTCATACTCAATGTATTCTTTACTTTATTTCTCTAGTACTTTGTTACAAAACATTTTAGTGAAATTTCAGTTCCATCTGATGTTGTATTTAACTTATAATATGACTTATATGGTTTTTTTTGCTATTTAACTTTTTAGCTTTTTCTTAGAGATATTTATTTTAAATATGTGGGGTTTTGAACTTGTAACTTACATTGCTTTACGCCCAAAGTAATTCTTTTGTCTTTGTCATTTTTCAGAAGTTTTCACAAACTAGAATAATCATAAGTCAATATTAAGACGAGAATCATGAACACCAAAGATTTTGTAGTTATCCCATGGGGCAAACCTGGAAATTCTGTAAAGCTAAAATATAAGTAAGTACACACACATACAGAAAATGTGTGCATGAATATTTTCTTATTTCCTAGGTAGAAATAATTGATGAACCTTCCACATATTGTAAACTATTCTTTTTGCACAGGTCTGTTTAGCATAAAACTCAAATTTGGTAAATTTGTGCATTTATTTTCTCCATAATGTTATGTTTTTAACTGCAAGAGTATTTATTCACTTACTTATTTTGTTGCTAGTGAGATTTAAACTAGCAGTGTCATACCTTATAGGAAGGATCATTACTGTCTGATCCATGCCTCCAGCCCTTTCTGTTGTTAATTATTTTCCAGGTAGGCTCTAGCATTTGTTTTTGCCAGTGCTGAGACAGGTATTGTCTTAAATAGGCCTTCTGTGTAGCTGAGATTAAGGACTGAACCCTCAACCTAGCTTGTTTGTTAGATTAAGGTCTCATTAATTCTCTTTTTTTTTTCAACCATAATCCTAGCTCTTCAGAAGGACTAGTTCTGAAGACCAAGGTTCTGAGCCCTTCTAGACAGGGAAATTCACTTACTCTTATCTCACATCCCTCATCTCCGATCTCTCCCAACCCCACCCATCTCCTCAATTTACCTGGCTCCATTTTCACATACATACCTAGAACATTGTGACTTTATTCACCCATCCTTTATCTGAATGGAGAAATAGACTATTTTCGATGTGGAAGTTATGTATGTATTTATTTGAAAAAGAAGACGTGATATGCATTATTTGATTCCAGGTGTAGATTTTAGCTCTTTGTGTCTATATTCACATTCATGTACTGATTATTAATTGATACCCACGTTAAGGACCCTGCCTTGGGACCTTAGATAGTAGCAGTCCCAGGCTTTGACACTGAATGGCTGGCAAAGGACTTGAAGTCCTATTCCAGCAACAATGGAGCAAGGAGTGCGGGCAGTCATGCGGAGCCTGGGAGGGCAGGGAGCCCTCCCAGAGTTGTCAAAAATTTGGGTGGCTATTGAATAAATTATTTGCTTTAAATACCCTGCTTCTGGCTTACTTGGATATATGAAAATCAAGTATATGCAAATCAGAAAAAAATGTTATATTTGCTTGTCATAGATACGTATCAAAAGCTCTGGCCACCTATCTAAAGTGAATTTTGGTTGTCAGCCATCAGCAATTGAACATGTAAAAGTACTTTATGAGATCTGAAGGCATACAATGCTTAAGGAGAATACTTAATGAAAGCATCTGCTAACTTTTCTAAATCAAATTTGTAGAAACACATAGAAGTGGCTATTAATAATTAGTGATAATTTTTAATTAACTGGAATGGCAAAAGATGATATAAAATTAGTTTTTCTTTGAGTTTTGTCTGCTTACTCTAAACAAACATCCTATGTTTAAACCTCCTGTCCTCAGAAATGCTCAAGAACTACGAATGGAGAAAATACAGTTAGAATTGGAGAACGAAGAGATGAAAAAGAAATTCAAAGAATTTCAATCCACAAGGAGCAAAGAAAGGGATGAAACACAGTGAGTGACCTTTTAAGAGCCATTTCTCAAGAGACGCAAATTAAAATGAGAGGAATAAACTGAATCTTTCTTAAGATGCTAATTTAACTGTGCTAGTAGTAACTGTGCTAATTAACAGCGCTAATTCAGCTGAATTATGTACAGAACTGATTTAAGTGCTATGATTACTGTAGCAAAATATTTAGTGCAGGGATAACATAATTTCCCTTCTCCCCTCGCTCCCCACTTTTTTCTGTACCTTTTACTTATGAACCACTGTTTCGTAAAACTTCCATGGCTTTCATTTCTTCTGAACTTCACTGGGCCTTGTTCTTTCATGTCTCTTCTTACATCAAATTTGATGGTTTGTGGTTCAGAATATTTCAGACAACGATGCAAATTTCCCTAACTCTCAGATTATTGCTATCAACAGCACTTTATGTAAAGGCAGCTTTATTTATTGCAAAGAGTAAAAGCAGTAGACTCTATGAGTAGATTTGAAATATTTTTAGCAAGTAATAGTGAGTTGATATTTTGTTACTGAGAACCCCCAAATACCACACCTATATATATATAGCTTCCAATTTAACTGAGAGCTAAATGAGTTAACTGAGAGTTTTTCCTACAAAAATGATTTACAAAGTGGTTTGAGATCCACCAGAACTAATGGTGGTGGAGTGATGGAAACCACCCCCTTTCTTCTCACCCCATTTTTTTCTGACACCAACTATAGTAGTTAAAATTCTTTGCCCCACAGATGGCTCATATTTGCATAAGTCTCCTATGTGTTCCTATGCCAGTGTGTTGTTAAGTGTTTGAAACTGATTTCTTTTGTGTTCAACACATGAGATAGCCTCTAAGTTTTGAGAAATATAATGTATATCTTGCTATGGTGCTTAATACACTCATCTTACTTTATATGTTCATATCTTGCTATGTTGTGTAATTGATATTGGCACATGGTGACATATCTCATTTTATTTTGTCTCACTTCCATAGTTTGTGATTACTTCAGCATGTGTGTGTGTGTGTGTGTGTGTGTGTGCGCGCACGTGCGCGTGCGTGTGCGTGCACATGGGCGCATTTGTGTGTTCCAGTTCCAGGGCTTGAACTCAGCCTTTTGTTGTCCCTAAGCTTAATGCTCTACCACTTGAGCCACACCTTCACTTCTGCATTTTTGGTGGTTAACTGGAAATGAGTCTCATGGATTTTCTTGCCTAGGCTAGCTTTGAACTGAAATCCCACCATCTCAACCTCTCCAACAACTAGGATTACAGGTGTGAGCCACCAGCACCCAGCTGAACATGAATTTTTGCTTACATGGAAGGACATCCATGGGATAAACGCCTTCCTCAGTTAAGCTGTGTGTACACCTTATATTGTAATAGACTTTAGGCTTTAAAGAGACCATGCTTCAAGTGAATTTACTGATGGTGAATATCACTAAACCCTTTGCATGTTAAATGTAATTTTGTTTTGTTTTCAAAATAAGGATCACCAATTGTAATCCATTTTGACCTGAAGCATACCTTCTGGACAATTAATGACAATCTTAATATGTTTATTGTACTTTTAGAGTCCAATTCTTTCAAAAGATTGCATGACACACATATTCTCTCTTTATCAATAGGACATTGTTTGCTTCAAGGGGTCTCATGTTATCTGTCATCCAGAAAGATAAAATTTGTTGTTGGACTTTACAATAAATCACAACGTTCCTCTGTGATTCAGAATCACCTCTCCAGATGAATTTTCCTTAATGGCTCACACTTCTTCTGTCCCCCCCAAAACACTTTCTAAAGCTTTAGAATAGTTGCTTTCTTTAACTAAGGTCACACAGATGGCCAATGTCATAGTCAAAATGAGAACCTGTCACTCAGTGGTCAGGAAGCTAGAAGCCCAGTGTTCTGGTTTAAGATTTATTATTTATTAACTATGTGACACTGGCCAAGTTGTCTCATTACTTTTTAAATGAAAATTGGACTCTTTCTGCTGCTCCAGAAGGATTCCGTGAAGCTCAGCTAAAAGTACTTTGCAAACAGTGAAAATAAACATTGGCTCCTTTGGCCCATTGTTGCTTTTTAATGTGGGAACAGCTTTTAACTCTTACAAGAAATTTGTCACTGAATAGATCTGTTGACAATTTCAGGAGCAGTAGGGGAGTTGTATTGCTGTCTTCTCTTTGCATTGTGGATGCTTAGTTTGCTGTTGTTGTTTCTTTAATTATGTCATGGGTCTTGAACTCTAGGCCTGGTAGCTGTCCCTGAGCTCTTCAGCTCAAGGCGAGCACTGTACCACTTGAGCCACAGCATCACTTCCAGTTTTTCTGGTGGTTTATTGGAGATAAGAGTTTCATGGAGAGCTGGGAAGGTGGTCCAGTGGTAGAGCACTTGCCTTGCATGCATGAGATCCTGGGTTCGATTCCTCAGCACCACATAAGCAAAAAGAAAAAAGCCAGAAGTGGCACTGTGGCTCAAGTGGTAGAATGCTAGCCTTGAGCTGAAGAGCTGAGGGACAGTGCCCAGTCCCAAAGTTGAGGCCCCATGACTGGACCCCCTCTCCCCACAAAAAAAAGAGTTTCATGGATGCTCCTGCTGGCTCGCTGGTGTTGAACCACGATCCTCAGATCTCAGCCTCCTCAGTAGTTAGGATTACAAGGATGAGCCACTGACACCCAGCTGGATACTTAGTTTTTAAAACTATAAAGTTTCCTATTAACTTCTAAAACTATCCCCAGCCCTTCTAAATGTCAGAACCAGGAATTCCTCATCTGTGTTTGGAGATTTGCCTTTTATTCAGTTCTCTGCAGCCATCGCTCGCATATATGATAGTCATATTTCAAAATTACAATATTAGGGCAGTACTGGTATTTGCTTTCCTTTTGTGGTGGTTTCTTACACTTTACCATCTGAATTTCTATTCCCTGAAACAGAGAAAATGTATTTGTTTTCATTAAAAGGAGAAATGTTTTAGTAATCACATCTTCTTTTGTCTGTATCTGTTGAAGGTCAAGTGGATATCATTGGAAATCTGGAAAAGTGGGTAGATTGGGCAATCAGTCACGCACAATGTCACAAAATAAAGGAAATGCAATTAAGGTAAGGAGATACTATTTGATTATCAGGCAGTTTGCAAACCAAAGAGATATAAATTATTTTTTATGGTTTGCATTTTCTTCCATACTCAAGAATATATTATTCTTGTTTTAACAACTTCATGGAGTATTAGATGTTTACATTTATTTTTGTCAGTTAATATGCAGCTTTCATTATCCCAACATATTTTTGATTTTCATCCATAAGGTTGATTTGGACTTTCTCCCCAATTCTAAACAGAAAACAATTTCCATTAAATTCAATTCTCATTTAAAATATGTAAAAGGGAACTACGTAATGAAAGCAAATGTGAATTAGTCTAACAAATTATAGGCTTTATTCTTAACATTGTATCATTTCACATATGTTCAGTTCTTTCATACCCTGCATGATATATAATTATGTATATAGTGTTGCTTCCATGTGTGATGTGAAAGAGAAAATTGCATCTCAGTTTTGAACTATATGTTTGCTTTATCATTATTGTGTATTCTAAAACTATAACATTGCATTATATTCAAGATTAACACCACCTAAAGGGTATTTAAATAATGTAAATCATTTCTGACTTCTTTAGTGCAAGGCTTCTGTTTAAAATTTTAACTTATACACACACACTCATATATATATAATTAAAATTAGTTGTGTCAACTGACATCTAGAAACTTCTTATTTGGCACTTCTAAGTATTTTAGCTTCAAAAATAAGCAGTTTATTTTATAGTGTCATTCTCATAATGAGGTGTGTTTCTTTAATTGAGTTAAAGCTTTATTGACCACTTTAAGTTTTCCTGACTTTTTGGAGAAGTGGACCATGTTTCAGATGTTATTATAAATGTATTAAAATGCTGGTTGTTTTTGTAGACTTGGTGATTTTGATCTACACATAATAATGTTTATGAAATGGTGTTTTAGACTTGCAGTGAGCTATCTTTGTTCTAAAGGACGCTCTCCTCTAATGTGAAAAATGGGTGCCTCTAAATACTTTTTATTTCAACTCAATGAAAAGCTTTACATTGTAACCAACTCAGCTTATGAGGAATATAGTCTTTGAGAAATAATAGTTTAGTTGTACACAGAGTTGAGGGTTTGCTGGATATATTTTTAATTGGGGGGAAAGAAGAGGGAATCAAAATCCCTTTTGCCACCACCAGAATTAAGAAGGAGACTGGAGTTGATTTGGCTTTTTCTTTTCACTTCCCTCAGTACTTGTTTTATTCCTAAGTGGCGATGTGTTGGTCTATGAATTATTATCCGATATATCATTCAGATAAAATAACAACATCAAAGAAGTAAAATACCTTGCTCATGGCCAGGGTATTAAAAAAATAAAATACCTTGCTCCTGGTCAGGTATGAGAGCCCAGGTCTGGTTTGGATTTATTAAAAACTAATGATTAAGGGTAGCTGGAGAAGAGGAAGAATCAAAACGTTGCAAGTATGTGGAAAAAGAAAATACATAGGGAGGGTAATTTGGAAAACAGGGACCAGTAAGTGTTGTCCAATACTTTGTACAGTGAGGTGTGTGTGTGTGTGTGTGTGTGTGTGTGTGTGTGTGTGTGTGTGGTAGGGTGTGTATCAGTGTAGACCAGTGTTTATCATGGAGACATTTTTCTCATGGAGACAGTGTTTCTCCAGGAGACATTTGCCCAGGCATTGAAGACATATTCAGTTCTTATCAGTGAACCCAGACTTTAGCTTGTTTTTTTAAATAGTATAGGGCAGAAATGCCATTAACTTCTTTTTTTTCCTTTTTTTTTTTTTTGTCAGTTGTGGGTCCTGAACTCTAGGCCTCGGCACTGTCCCTAAGCTCTTCAGCTCAAGGCTAGCACTCTACCACTTGAGCCACAGCACCACTTCAGGCTTTTTCTGCTTATTTGTGGTGCTGAGGAATTGAACCCAGGGCCTCATGCATGCAAGGCAAGCACTCTACCACTGAGCCACCTTCCCAGTCTGCCATTACCTTCTTACAACCTATTTGACACCTCCCATGACAAAGAATCATTTAGCACAGAATGTCAGTGGTGCTGGGGTCCCCAGACCCTGGATTACAATCTATCCATTAAAATGATTACTTTTGTAATTCAATTTGTAATCGTAGGGAGTCTTTTAATCTCTGATTCTCTTTTACCATTGCTAGTAAACATGTGGTACTATTGCTTGGGAATCATAATAAAGTCTCTATGAAAAATGAGTATACAGAAGGAAAGGATTGGATCTAACAATCCATCTGATCTAATCCATTGGATCTAATATTGATTGGTTCATCCTTATGAGTTGTGGATATAGATTTCAAACAGTTGGAAAGAGTGGGTGATTAGTGACATTTTAAGGGTTTAAGAGATTCAACGTTCAACTTCACTGTGTGATTATTTTAGGAGTGGGGAAATGGACTACTTGAAAGGAAAGGAGGAAGGCTTGAAGTCGCAGAGGTTGTCAGACGCTGGTGTGGTCTTTGAGGAGTTGACTTATTAAAAGAAGCCTTATTTAAAGAAAAGACTTATTGAAAGAAGCAAAGAACTGACACTGTTTTTTCTCTGAGTTGAGAATGATGGATGGAAAAAAGAGTATGAAGAAATTTAAATATATATATATATATATATATATATATATATATATATGGAGAGAGAGTGAGAAAGAGAGAGAGAGAAAGAGAGAGAGAGAGGGAGGTTGGTGATAACAGGGGGTCCAATTAGATGCCATGGAGATGTTCAACAGGAAGATGCCAGGGTTCTTAATAAAGTTAAAGGCGGTAACATTGGCTCAGAGCAAGGAAAGGCCCTGAGATGGGAACAGGAGTTCTTGAGAAGAGAGGCCTGGAGAAGTCTGGTGGGCGTCGGGGTTGGGGGCTTGCTAATGCCCAAGGAGCCAATATGGAAGACCCCTGGGCTTATTTCATCACAATAGTGGTAGACAGGGGAGGTGCAGGAGGGAGAGGAGGGAAGGGGATGAAGGTCAGCCCCAGGAGCTGGGGAGTGGGAAGGTGTGGCTGCTTAGGTGCCCAGTTTGGTCATAATGGTGCCTCCAGGCGGGGTGGTGCTGAAGAGGCAATCAGAGGCCCCCAGTGGCCACATGGCGATGGCCTGCGAGGCCAGAATACCAGGACAGCAGGGGCAGTGAGGCGTCCGGGTCCGCAGCCAGGCTGTTATGGGAGCGGATCTGGCATGCCCCGCGTCCTTGGTGCGCCCCTTGGCCCGTGGCTCTCAGGCTCGGACGTCCCGTCCTGGTGAGCACCGGGGCAGGGAGCGGGCGCATGCATTCTGGCCGCTCTTTGGGGACGGTAGAGCGCAGGGTTCAGCCAAGGCGAATGTGCGGGCGAGGTGTTGGCAAGGGAAGACTGAGAATTGGGGGACGCGATATGGCTCCTTGGATTGGTGGGAGGCCTGGGTGGAAAGATCATCTCGAGGACGTGTGCGGGGTTGGCTGGGGGGGTGAGGGAGGCCTTTGCCTAGGTCGCCTTGGCAGTCATTGGGCACTGGGGAGTGCCGGGGACTGAACACCGCAGGCATGTCCAGTGTGCGTGCGTGTGCGCGCGTGTACGCATGTGTGCGCATGGGTAAAGTTGGTCTAACCCTATTCCAACACCCAAACTTTCTCTGAACTAGACCGATTTCCGATTTGACAAGGGAATTCTCTCCTTCCCCTCCCTCAAAACAGCCCCTAGCTGCTGGCTCATTGAGGTATTTGCGGGCAATTGGAATAAAGTGACACAAATATAACTCCATTCAAAGAACAGCAAAAGAATCCTGGTAAAGAGGGAAAAAATCCTAACGTGTCTGTGATCATCGTTCTGTGTGGCTTTCATGCACCTGTCCGTTCTGCTCAAGTAGCTTTAGAACCCTGGCTGGCCCGCAATCCAGACGTGCCATGAAGGTAATCAGACCGGACGCTTTGGATGTGGAAAAAGTGAGATTAAATTGTCTGTCACTGGGATAATATTCACAATTTAAAAAAAGCTAAACAGGATGTGTGAGTCCTATGAAACGCGCTTACTTCCATCCCAAATTCTTTTCTGCTGTGTTCGGTGCAGAAAACATTTGAGCAGCTAGTTCACAGCATATGGACACTGAAGCAAAACCACAGAGAATAATTAGGCTTAAATGTTCAAAGATGCCTACAGACAGTGCAGTCAGAGATAGAGAGGCTGCCATTGTTCCAGAACCTCATCGACAAATTGGGCAATTGAGCAGACACATTGCACATTGAAATCGGTGTGTGAATTGACGGTGCCTGGATAAATGCACACTACATCCTTGCTTGTTTGTGGATTTTGAATGTTGGTTTTAATAAGGCCAAGGAGAATACATTCAGCTGGCAGGTCTGTTTGGTTTTCTAAAATGTTAATACCAGAGTATTTTAAATTATTATTTGAAATACCTAGATATGAACCTTACTTACATATATATACATATAATGTGTGTGTGTGTGTGTGTGTTGTGTGTGTGTGTATGAAGTCCATGGTGTTAACGCAAATGATTCTCCAAATAAGAGAATAATACTGGTTCCTACAGTTGTGTAGCAGAATAGCTCAGTTGGATTTCAGCTTAGACTCAGTCTGTACAAATATTGGGCTTTGTGGACTTTCCAAAGAACAGAAATGGAAAGAGTTCACTCAACCTTACAGCACACTGAATGCGGGCACTCTTTCGACGATATTCTGATCATGTATAACGATTCTTATTTCTGGTATGTGTTTTTAAAACTGGTTTATATATATTGTGTTTACATTTCCTTTCTTTTCAATCAAATTTTAATTAAGTCTGAGTGTATTTAAGCAATGATCTCTGACTAGTTTTATATTATTCTTCCACAAATTTTCATACAAACTGTACCTCAGTGCTACGATATCTTATGTTTTTTGTTAGAGACTTAGTTGAAATTTCTTTAAACAAGAATCTATACCTGACAAATAATATCTATTTCATTCATAGTTTCCTGGTGGAAAACTGAAATTAAAATTATTGAAGCACGAGAGTCAAGGTAAACAGTTTATGGCTATCTTGCTAGATGAGATGAATGTAGCTCATAGTCCTTGGATTTTCCCTGAATTACATGCAGAAATAAAGTACTAGACTTCTTTATATAAAATAAGGACCCTTAACAAACACCTTCCCTCTTTCCCTTTCCTCCCTTCCTGTCAGAAGCAGGCATGAACTCAAGATCTTTTGCTCTCACTCAGCTTTATCACATACAGCTGGAGTTCTACCAGTTACGCCATACCTCAAGTGCAGCTTTTTGGGAGTTAATTGGAGATAGAATCTCTGGCTTCTAATGGAGCTCATCAGTTCTCAACAGCCTAAATAGCTAGGATTACAGGTCACCCACCCCAGTGACATTTTGATTTATTTTTTTGCAATGACATGATTTTGTAATTTTTGTTTTTATGTTTTTTGAAAATTTTTACTTGCTTTTATTGTGAAAATACTATACAGAGGGGTTACAATTACATGAGCAAGGAAATGAGTACATTTCTTATCAAGCATTGTTGCCTCCTCCTTTGTTTCCCCTTCCCATCCCTTCCCATCTCTCCCCCCTCCCTGCAAAGTTGTAAAGTTCGTTTTTCAACATAACGTCTTGAACAACTCATTGTTGCAATGAGTCCACCTGTATCCCTATTTACACAATTTGTTTTTTCCCTTCCCCTCCAATAATTATACAAGCATCAAATACAGTGAAAACAGGAGCTATACATACAAAGCAACAAAGAAGTCATCTTATAAATGTTAGAATTTTCAAAATTAGTTTTATTCTGTTTTCTTGGAGGTCTTGTTATATGGCAAAAATGCCACCTCACAATGTAATTGCAATGATAACATGTTTTACAGGTGAAGGATTTCAATGTATTGTTTCTTGAACTTTATTGAATGTTCTTCAAACTAGTAAGAATATTTAGCAATACAAAATTATAAATTGTACTGTTCCAGGATATTAAAAGAATATTGAGGACTGGGTAGGTGGCTCAGTGGTAGAGTGCTTGCCTTGTATGCATGAGGCCCTGGGTTTGATTCCTCAGCACCATATAAGCAAAAAAGCTGGAAGTGGCTCAAGTGGTAGAGTGCTAACCTTGAGCTAAAGAGCTAGGGCTCAGCACCCAGGCCCAGAGTTCAAGACCCATGACTGAGCAAAAAAAAAACCCAAAACCAGAAAATAAAAAAAATATTGAAAATTTGCTTTATATTTAATACCTTAATTTGAAATTGTTAAGAAATATAAATCATGGTTTTGGACTTGTAATAATTCCAAAGGAAATAACTACCTTCCTGGAGGATAAACAGGTTTAACTTTGAGTGATTCACATAGTGTGGGTTAATGAGTTATAGAAACATAAATACAATATTTATATAAAAATATGTTGTAAACATACAAAATTTTGTGTATTTTTGTATGAGTGTATATGCACATATGTATGTCTATATGTGCATTATATGTAATATTTCTATGTGTATATAAACTTTTCTCTACTTCAGTTTGATCCAGATATGGGAAAGCATCACAGGGACTGTGTCAAGTGTAAGATTTTTAGAGCTCTGTAATTGTAAATGTTTTGAGCAGTGGGTGTGTTGGCTGTTTAAGGTCTTGGGCCTGTGAATGCTCCAAGAAGCTGCTATGGGAATTGCAGTCAAATGATAATTAGCTTGGACTACCTATCCTTCTCATTGAGTCACAAATATTGGTCATTTTGAAATGCTTACACTTTTCTGACTTAATCAGAAAGCTAAACATCATATTTAAAAATGATTTGTCTGACATGATTTTCCTTCCAGAGACAGTAAGACAGCCAGTTAAGCACAAGATGGCAAATTCTCCTGGAAGTGAAAAACTCAAGACAAAAGGGAAGACTTGTGGACAGTGTGAGATAAAATCTGCTCTCCTAGTATGTACATTATGGTAAACAATATGCATGGAACTCCCTTGGCCTTACACACCAGTCCCAACTTTATCTCCATTTACAGCCATCTACTTTTTCTTACTGGGGTGATGTGCTTTCTAAAACGGATGTCTGCCTTTACTTGCAAATTGTATTTTCTTTTCGTTCCCTCCCTCCCTCCCTCCCTCCCTCTCTTCCTTCCTTCCTTCGTTCCTTCCTTCTTTCCCTTTTTGGTATGAACACTGGGGTTTGAACTGGATTATTTGCTCAGCTGGTACTCTAGACTTCTAGACCAGCTGTTGGTGGTTTTGTGGAAATGAAATGTAGTGGAATTTTCTGCCATACTTGACTTTGTAATGCAATCCTCTGAATCTTAGCCTCTAGCATATTCAGGATTACAGGTGTGACCACTGGCTCCTTGCTTGCATCTTTCTATTCTTGTCTTTCCACAGTGATTTCCCTTCTTCCAGCCACACCTGTCTATCCGAGCATGCAGCAATATCTACCATCTAAAGTCAAAACCCAAAGTAAACCCAGAAAGTCCTTTAGATTTCCAAATCTTACTTCTCACTCTATTTTAACAAATTCATGTGGGACTTTGTCTTTTCTTTTCTTCTTCCTTTTTTTTTAATTGTGAAAATACTGTACAGAGGGGTTACAATTACATGGGTAAAGTAATGAGTACATTTCTTATCAAGCATTGTTTCCTTCTCCTTTGTTGATTCCCCTTTCCTTCCCTTCCCATCTCCCCGCCCCCCGCCTCTGCCAAAGTTGTTAACAATGAGATGTACAAGACATTATGTTGAAAAATGAACTTTACAACATTGTCTTTTCTTGCCAGCTATCATATTTTCTTCCTCTCATTCACCACTCTTGTTAAGATGTGGTCTATGAAAGGTAAACAAATGCTTTCTGGAAGGCTATGTCAAGAATCAGAATGGTATTTTTTTGGGGGGGGTCCGGTCATGGAGCCTGAACTCTGGGCCTGGGCACTGTCCCTCAGCTCTTCAGCTCAAGGCTAGCACTCTACCACTTGAGCCACAGCGCCACTTCCGGCTTTTTTCTTTTTGCTTATGTGGTGCTGAGGAATCGAACCCAGGGCCTCATGCCTGCAAGGCAAGTGCTCTACCACTGAGCCACCTTCCCAGCCCCTCAGAATGGTATTTAACCACAGAAAAAGCCTCTTCCAATCTACCACACAGGACCTGCTAGGCTAGTGTCTAAACTGCAGATTCAGTACTGTCTGTTCTTTATGTAAATGGATTGGTAGAGTACACACACACACACACACACACACACACACACACACACACATCACCCCTTGGCCTTATTTCCTCCATATGGTGATTAATCTATGCTGTTAAATTTATTTATAGTATGTTCATTTGTATTACTAAACATACTTCCTTCATGGTATAGGATAGCTATACCACATTTGTTTATCCATTCATATGCTGAATGACATTTGAGTTATATAGATCTTGTTGCTTATATTCTCTTAAAAATTAAGTGAAACTGAAATAAGACAGGTAAAAATATTTTTGATGATTCTCTAAGTTTTCATTGGTGCAAATATTGAACATTCAAAGAATTGTAATGAGAACTGGGTACTATCCAGGCTCTGTGGCTCACACCTGTAATTCTAGCTGCGCAGGAAACTGAGATCTGAGGATTGTGGTTCAAAGCCAGCCTGGTCAGGAAAGCACATGAGATTCTTATGTCCAATTAACGACCAGAAAACTGAAAGTGGCACTGTAGCTCAAGGGGTAGAGGGCTAGCCTTGAGCTGAAGAGCTGAGGGACAGTGCCCAGGCCCAGAATTCAAGTCCCATGACTGACCAAATATAAAAGAAAGAAAAACAAAAAAACCAAACTGGGTACTGGTAGCTCATGCCTAAAATCATAGCTATTCAAAAGGCTGAGATCTGAGGATTATAGTCTGCAACCAGCCTAAGCAGACAAACCCAAGAGAGTCTTATGTTCAATTACTGTAAAAAGAAAGATACTGGAGGGGTGGCTCAAGTAGTAGAGCTCCAGTCTTGATTGAAACTGTAAAGCAAGAGCTTGAGGCTCTGAGTTTGAGCCTCAGTACTAGCACAATTCCATTTCTGGCTTTTGGCTGGTTAATTCAAGATAAGAATCTTGCAGATTTGTCTGCTTCAAAGTGGGCTGCTCAGCCTCTTGAGTAGCTAGGATCTTAGGTACTCAGCCAGTTAATCCATTTTTGTTCAGGATTTTTGCATCTATATTTATCAAAGATAAATCATTTGTTCATTGTGACTATGTCTAGTTTTGGTATTAGGCTACTGCTAGCCTCATAGAATGAGCTTATTTACTTGAGTCTTTTTTGTTATTTGTTTAAATAAGTTTTTTATTGTAAAAATAGTGTACAGAGGGGTTACAATCACATGAGCAAGGTAATGAATGCATTTCTTATCAAGCATTGTTGCCTCCTCCTTTGTTTTTTCCCTACCATTCCTTCCCCCCATCTCCACAACTACATCCCCTCCCCCTCACCCCCCCACTCCCCCTCCTAAATTGTAAACTTCTTTTTAAAATTTTTTTAAATAAGTTTTTATTGTGAAAATACTGTAGAGGGGTTACAATTATATGAGTAAGGTAATGAGTACATTTCTTATCAAGCATTGTTGCCTCCTCCTTTGTTTTTCCCCTGCCATCCCTGCCCTCCCATCTCCACAACTACACTCTTCCCTCCCCTCCCTGACTCTTCCCTACCCCCCCCCACCTAAATTGTAAAGTTCCTTTTTCAACATAGTATCTTGTACATCTGTACATCTCATTGTTGCAATGAGTCAACTTGTATCTCTAATTAGCTTTTTTTTTTTTTTTTTTTAGTCCATCATGGGGCTTGAACTCTGGGCCTGGGCGCTGTCCCTGAGCTCTTCAGCTCAAGGCTAGCACTCTACCACTTGAGCCATGGTACCACTTCTAACCTGTTTTCCTATTTAAACAAATTGTTTAAATAGGGATACAGGTTGATCCATTGCAACAATCCTTTTTTTTTTTTTTTGTATTTAATTGAGCTAGACACTTCTTGAAGGCTATGGTACATCCAGTGTGGTGTAATAGGGCTGGAGCTGGAAATAAAGAATCTCACTCCCCTTTTTTTTTGTTGGTCATGGGGCTTGAACTCTGGGCCTGGGAGCTGTCGCTCAGCTCTTCAGCTCAAGGTGAGCCCTCTACCACTTGACCCACAGCGCCACTTCCTTTTTTTCTGGTGGTTTATTGGAGATAAGAGTCTCACAGCCTTTCCTGCCTGGGCTGGCTTTGAATGGTGATCTTCAGATCTCAGCCTCCTGAATAGCTATGATTATAGGCATGAGCCACTGGTGCCTGGTCTTCCCTTTGCTTTTGTTCTGTACTTTTTGTGCTGGAATTAAGGCTTGAACTCGGGGCCTCATGCCTTGCTTGATTTTTTTTTTTAAACCATAACTGACATGCTACTTTTTTTTTTTTTTACCAGTCTAGCTTTTTACTGGTTAATCACAGATGGAATCTTTCAGACTTTTCTGCTTTAGTGGACTTGAATCTGAAATCCTCTGGCTCTCAGCTTCCAGAAAAGCTAGGATTAAAGACAAGAGAGGCTCTGTTGCCCAGATCTATACTTGTCTTATAAAAAAACCCCTAACCAAGGATTTTCTTGGAGCTGCAACGAAAACAAAATTTCATGATAGCTGTCAAAAATACAATAATAAACTATTTAAAATGTGGATTAGGCTGAAGTAAAGCAGAGTCAGGTTATATTATCTTTGGTTCTTAGAGTCTAGCATTGCTTCTATCATTGTTGAGTGGGTAGTAGGACTTTATTTTATTTTCCTGGCCTTCCTTGGGGACAAATGGCACACTGGAGATCGGTTAAAAATCTGTATTTTGAAAGTTTAAGGCCCAGTTCTTCCTATTAATGTTATATGATGTTTGCAGATCATAATTCTATTGATGTTTTCTCATTTCTAAAAGAAGATCATAAGATCAAGATTAATCTATTTTGAAAACTATTATTAATTATTCATATTAATGAGCCAACATGTCTTTGAGCTGGGATGACTGACTCAGGGAAGGGATGATGGCAGGTGTGTGATGGACAGCGTAAGGTGACGCGCCACATGACTTAGTGACAGAAGATCCTATTTTGGTGGCAAAGATAAATTTCAACTCTCCCCAACTGATTATTTATTAAAGATAATGGAAGTGGCTTTAGGCTATTTCCATATGTCCAAAGTGAAAGCAATAGTGCAAGACTATAGATTAATTTGGCCTACATGGAAAACTGAAACTCAGCTGGGTTTTGCAGGCATGGTAGAACCGCTCAGGGATTCCTAAGGTACACAAGGCGCCTGTTAATCTAGAGCTCTGAGCTCCGTTCCTGAAGATGTCTGCCTGTGAGGGACACATCCTTATCAATGATTTTTGTGTTTTCCTGCCAGGGTTACAAGCTGCTTAAGAAGATGTTTCCATTTTGCAGGCATTTTAACCCCATTGAAATCCAAAATATGCTTGTATAACCAAAGACAGAAGAAAGCTGACTCTGCAACTCTAGCTTTGATCTTCCAGCTTACAAAGATATGCTTGGTTTGCTTCCATTTAAGATCTGTTAACAAATACTTGCTTAGAATTACATGCTGGAATGCATTTCAGATTACACTCTACTATAGGAATGGCCAAATGCGAGAAAGTTACTGACAAATGAGAAGGTATCTTAAAGTAAAACGATGCAGAACATATTTGGAAATCTATATTAAAGTAATACTACTATCATATTTGAAATTAGAGATTTTAAATTTAGGCTGCACTTAGAATCATGCAACTAGGGATGATGATATCATGATTTGCTGGAGACCCTGTAGCTCTTGAAATGAGATCACAGAGGGTTCACGTTTCTTTTTCTTCTAGTTAAGTAACAGATCCCGTTTTGTATAGTTAATCACTTTTAGATGTATGCATTAGGAGTTTGATAAATATTAGGCCATTCAGTTATTTGAAATATTAGATTTTACTTTAAGCCGGTTTTATCAAGGTTTTTCCAGTAAGTGGTTGGTACTATAATTAATAGTCAGAGCCTGTGTTAATGGTTATTAATGTATCTTGTGGTTAAAAGCTTGAGGTTGGAGTGAGGGGCGGGTTCAACTTCTGTCTGCATCACTGCATTGGCTTGGATTACTGTGGGCAGATTCTCATTCACTGTTTCCTTTTTTTTTTTTTTACCTTGAATGCACATGGAGATGCACTCACTCATCTGAACCTTACAGGGCTGTTGTGAAGACTAAGTAAAATTGAATGTGTAGAAGCCTCTACAACAGAGTCCCAATTCATTCAAAGTTGAGAATAGGCCAGGTGCAGGCTCATGCCTGCAACCTAGCTCCTCAGAAGGCTGAGATCTGAGGACCAGGGTTCAAAGCCAGATGGAACAGGAGACTCTTATTTCCAATTAAACACTACAAAGCCAGAAGTGGAGCTGTCCTCAAGCAGCATGAACTAGCCTTGAGAAAAACTGCCCAGTGTTGTCACTCAGGCCTTGAATTGAAGCCCCATGACCAGAATGGGGAGGGGGGTGGGGAGAAAGGAAAAAAGTTCAGGATATGGCTAATGCTATTTTAGTTTAACTCACCTTTGCTAGTTTCATCTTAGTACATAAAATGTCTTCCATCTTTATTCTCTATATCGTGTCATCCCAATCATTTTATATTTGATAAACTTTTCTAACTATTGCACGCGAACAGGTCTTCACAGGGGGACTTTCAGCGTAAAATTAGTAAACAAGTAAAATTAGTAGACAAGGTTTTCTGGGAGAGGTGACTCATGACTATAATTCCTGGCACCTGGAAGACTGAGAGGGGGAGAATGGTGGTTGGAGGTCAGCCCAGGCAGGAAAGTTCTTGTGACCTCATTTCAAGCTAGAGTTGGGCACGGTGGTGTACACCTCTCATCCCAAGCCACGTAGGGATTTGAGACTGGGTCTCACAGAACCACGAACTCTTTGTCAAGGCTTCCTGAACATCTCTCTCTCTCTCTCTCTTTCCCTCCCTCCAAACCCTCCTGCTTGAATCTCCTGCTTGCTTGCCTGCACACTTTCTCAGATGTGGGGCCTGAGCCACTGCTCTGCTGTTTATCATATTGGCAGTGGGATTGCTACAAGGCAGAAAATTAAGGAAAATTAAGGTAATTAAAGAAAGAATTGGTCTGTTTTCCCTTTACTTTCAGTCATGTTTGAACGGCATTAGGCACAGGTATATTTCACTTTTGAAGACCTTACACCTGAAAAAAAATCATCAGTGTCATTTAAAATTACATTTTAACATCCTAGAGAATTGGGAAGTCATTGTAGCAGTTAAAAACATTGTGGACATTGGGATATAGTTCTTTCTGTTTTTTTCTCTCTCCCTCCCCCCCCGGTATATTCATTGCAAGCCTTTTAAAGAATACTTTATAAACTGTATTGTGAGAATCAATGAGTGATACCTTTCATAGAAGTGTCTTGCTACATATTTTGTTTACAATGACTATGTTGTGTAAATGCCCATATAAGTCAATAAATAAGTCACTAAAAAGAACTGTTCTATGAAATAAATTGATCAGTAATATGATTCATGTTACTTCTTTAAAACCAGGTCGAAAAGTTAAGTGTGAAACTATTGGGTTGTGTTGTATCTTAATTAGAAACCCTACATACATCTATGAACCTATCTTGCAGCTACTGCCTTAATTTTAAGGAAGTAATTAGAGTTTACACATTAGTTGTCCTGAAAGGTTGAAATCTTATTTTTGGGTGGCTGCTTTATCCTGATGACATGGAGGTAAGGTGTGTGTGATACGAGTATGAGACCAATGACATTGCAGTTAAACTTTTCTCAAAATCACACCCATGTACCATGTTCTTTTAAGGTATGCCTTGAATGTGGTGAAGATTATTGCACAGGCTGCTTTGCTAAAATTCACCAGAAGGGGGCACTCAAGCTCCACCGAACAACACTTTTACAGGTAGGCCTTTCTACAATGCTTGACTGCAGCGTATTTATAATTTATTTCAATGTAAAGGCATTTAAAATAGTATTGAGAATTCTAGATGATTTATACTCTTTTCTAAAATTCTATTATGTACAGACAGTCGTGACATATATCTTAAACTTATTTAATTGAACACTAATCAAGGTTCTATTTTGCTATTTAAACTGTTTTAATATAGGTCCTAAAACATTTTAGCTTGATTAGATTCTTTAGATTATGCATTCTTCCTGTACACTTGACATTTAAAATTGGGCAATTTTCCTCTCTATTGTGGTTTTAAATGAACACATGACTTATTTTACAAATTATTTCTACCTAGTTTATTAGTAAAATCTCCAGTTTCCTTTCATGTATATTGTAAAGAATTTTGTCTTTGTCATTACATTTTGACATCCTAGAGGAGTGAGTTAGGCTCACAAGCTTCTACTTTGTTTCTAGGAACTTTTATTTACTCCTATGTATTCATCTTTGTTTTGCCTGTTTTTCTAAATCTAATCGAATCTTTTAAATGCCAGGCCAATGGAAATCCTGATTGTTCAACAATAGCTTCGGTTAGATACAGAGATATTTATGTAACTAGCTGTATTTAGTGCTGCATTGACTTGTCATCTATTTAATTCATTTCTTTTCAGTAATTTACTCAACATGTATTCCTGGGTGCCTTCTGGCAGGAGTTCCTGCCAGGCACTGACTTCACAAAGGTGGATATTTGGGGGATCTTACTCGCCAGGTCTTGCAGATAAAGTCAAGCAGGGACGAAGCCTTTGTAGAGTGGGTTAAGGATTCTTGTACCCAGACTAAGGGAGATGACCACAGAGGGGTTTAAACTGATCATTGATAGATTCAATTGCCAGGAGTCTTCTCAGTACAAATATTGAGAACAGGGTCATCATAAAACATCAAACAGGGTGTGGCGCTGTAGCTCAAGCGGTAGAGCACTAGTCTTGAGCACAGAGAGGCTCAGGGACAGCGCTTGGGTCCAGAGTTCAAGTCCCACGATCTCCCCCACACACAAAGAGAGCAAGAAGAGAGCAAGTGAGCAAGCGAACTAGAGAGAGAGAGAGAGAGAGAGAGAGAGAGAGAGATTGAGCCGGACACCTGTGGCTCACACCTGTAATCCTAGCTACTCAGGAGGCTGACATCTGAGGATCTCAATTCAAAGCCAGCGTGGGGGAGGAACATACAAAGAAACAAACAAAAATCCCTGTTTTCACTGTATTTGATGTCAATGTCCTGCATCTTGTATATATACTTCTCTAGCTTTAGGAGGGGAAGGGAAAAAAAAAAACCAAAATGCTTAAATAGGGTACAGGTTGACTCATTGTAACAATGAGATGTACAAGACACTATGTTGAAAAACAAACTTTACAATTTAAGTGGGGGAGAGAGGAGTTGAGGAGGTGGGGAGGGAAGGGATGGTAGGGGAAAAACAAAGGAGGAGGTAACAATGCTTAATAAGAAATGTACTCATTACCTTATTCATGGAACTGTAACCTCACTGTACAGTATTTTTATAATAAAAAACATACTAAAAAAAAGGGCTGGGAAGATGGCTCAGTGGTAGAGTGCTTGCCTTGCACACACAAGGCCCTGGGTTCCATTCCTCAGCACCACATAAGCAGAAAAAAAAAGTCAGCTTGGGCAGGAAAGGCAGTGAGACTCTTATTTCCATTTAACCAGAAAACCGGAAAAGGTGCTGTGGCTCAAGTGATAGAGCACTCACCTGAGCTGAAGAGCTGAGGGACAGAGAACAGGCCGAGGTCAAGCCCCATGACTGACACACACACACGCTCACACACAATCCAACATACCTAATTTATGTACCAGAGGTCAGGTACTGAGAATCATATTTCAGTATGTTCAGCTTTCAGGGAGAAATGACAGAGGGTGAATAAGATACAAATCTACCTCTTCCTTTCCTGAAGGGATTAAAATGAGCTGATCTTATAAAATGAAAATATACCCTTTTTTATATTGAAAGTGAACTCTACAACTTTGGTGGGGTGGGGGGGGGAGTTGGGGAGGTGGGGAGGGAAGGGATGGTAGGGGAAAAACAAAGGAGGAGGTAACAACGCTCAATAAGAAATGTACTCACTACCTTACTCATTTAACTGTAACCCCTCTGTATAGCATCTTTACAATAAAAATGTATAGTAAAAAAAGAAAATATATCTTTTAAAAATTATTTTATTGTAAAGATGCTGACAGAGGGGTTACAGTTACAAGAGTAAAGCAATGAGTGCATTTCTTGTTGAGCATTGTTGTTATCTGACCATAGAAGATGATGCTAAGTGAAATGAACCCCAAGATATGAAAATGTATCTTCAGAAAAATGAGTCTAGGGCTGAGATGTAGCTCAGTAGCAAAGCCCTTGTGTAGTAAGTGCAACGTTCTGGTTTGATCGTTAGAAGGAAAGAAAGAAAGGAAAAACAGAAATAGAGTTAAACCCCCAAAGAACAAAAAGAAAACCCTTTAAAAAGTGAGTCTAGTTGCTTATGTATACACAATATAGGAGTTAACTGAAAATGCTCCACTTAGAAAATAATACTACAGATACCCTATTGGAAGTCCATATGAGGCTTTTCTCTTTCACTGTTTATTCACCTGTGTCTAAATTGTCACTCAATGAAGTTCAGCCCCATGTGAGCTCGTGAGGGGATACAAAGCAGAAAAAGACATAGTAGCTGTTTGGTAGCTAAGCACTAGGGCCCTTGTCTGTTCTCTTCTCTTTTCCTCCCTCCTTCCCTCCCTCCCTTCCATTCCCCCTCCTTCCCTTCCCCCCCTCTGGATTTTAACATGCCATGGCTTCTTGTTGATAGCATATGGATTGAATCTCACAGAGGATACTTTAGAACATTCAGGTTTTTCTATCTCACATTAGTATCGTAATGAAAATGCACTTCCTGTTATAACTTAGAATGGGACCATAACTTACAGATCATGCTCTTATAAAATTCTAAAATGTACAATGGATAAAAGGAAGTGGAAAGTATTTATTTTACGTATTAAAAATACAATCCACTTTTTATAATTGAAAATCAGCTGTTGATTCAAATTCCTTCGTGCTGGGCAGCACCTATGCACAGAGCATTTAGAAAGATCTGGAGATTTGTCTCCATTCTTACTAAAGTATAATTGACAGGTCCTAATTGTGTTCCTTTATGATGTACATTCTCTTGTTTTGCTATCTGTGTAGGTAGTGAAGCTATCTCCAAAATCAAGCTAACAAATCTATCAATAGCTTCATCATTTTCTTTTTTTCTCTTCTTTCTTCTTTTTTTTCCCCCATTTGTTCTGCTGCCAGCATCACGTTTTCCAGTTTTGATTTCAGAGGAGGAAAGGCTGCTAAGCCACAAATAGCAAAATGATATTTCAGTTTCTAGTGAATCTTAAATTATAGAAGACACATTTATTTTCAAAAGTTAGTTTGAATAGATTTCATATGTGTAGAGATTAAAAGGCATATTGAATAATCATGCATTGTGGCTAGGCTGCTTCTAATACAAGGGTTCATTAAGTTAAATAATAGTAAGTGTTGGGGCTAGCGTTGGGAGTTGCGGTTAAGGTTGCGATTGGGTTTGGGATTAGGATTAGGGCAGAGGTTGGAGATGGAGTTAGAGCTGGGGTGGGGTTAGTGTTAGAGCTGGATTAGGTTTGGGTTTAGAGTTCAGGTTGGGGTTAGAGTTGGTTAAGGGTTCGTGTTTCTCCTTTTTGTTGCCCTCCAGTCTGTGGGTGCTGAAGTTAGTTGCTGCTTATAAACTGGGTGCATTCCTTAGTCTGCCTTTGCCATTAAGGAGGTGGAGTTGTGATGTTTGACACAGAAATGCCATTCTGGACACCAGTTCTATTGTATTGCTATTGCTATCTTTCTGTATCACAGCATTTCACCTGCTGACAGAGTTGAGGAATGAAGGACTTTGAAGGAAAAAAATCCTTTCCAAGTAATTCAAGTAAATGGGTCCTCTAAAAATTGTAAATTTAATAGTTAAACTCCACACTTGTGTTTGAAATTAGGCAGGACTTTTGGGATGATTCGAATTAGTTTGTCTAGAAGAATTTCCTCCAGGCTTATTCAGTTCATAGAAGATTATATTATCCTCTTTTGTTTTTAAAGTTTGAGTCATGTTTCTTTGTGTTTATACAGATGCTTTTTCTATAAGGAAGAAAAAATAGTGATATCCTGTGCCATATTTATATGTTTGCCAATAGTAATCATTGCATCATAAATGGGTATGTCATATGTCAGACTGGCTGTATCACCTGTTCTTTGTTAGAAGTCGTGTCATACCACAATGTTGGTCTTGACTACATGTAATAGCAATGGCATAAATAAACAAATACTTTTGATGGAAACCCTTCAAAATGATTTACACATTCCCTCCCAACTTTGTAAATAGATTATTTATTGCTATTTATTGTTTTGATTACTTGTGATTAAAACACTTATTAAAAGAAGTATCCAATAGCTCAGACATTATGCATAGCTATGCAGTTCTCCTATGATAGTTATTGTTCTGATTCATCCCTTTTCCCCCTCCTATTATGGACCTCACCCATTCCTTGCCGTCAAATCTGGTCTTCAATTGTCCCGTTGCCATTTTCCCCCATGTCTTTCTATTCCCCCAGTAACCTTATTGCTTCTCTCTCCTTTTGCCCAACTCTCCCCCTTCTCCTTGACTACATGTGAGAGTTATTGTCGAACTCGATGGCCGCTTGGTTGTTGATGAGCTGCATAGACTTCATTTATGCAGGGTTAGTGTGTTTGAATCTTTCTATCATTTTATAGCTATGGAAGTCATGGGTATTGCTGATTGCTGAATTCCTACCTAATGTGAAAAGTGAGGACAGACAAGTGACAAGTGACACCAGTCCATATGGCCTAGAGCTCAAATGAATGACGAATGGCTTTTATACTTTGTTTTTCTAGTGTATGATGCAGTTGCTGGTTATTGGGAAATGTAGCTGTATTTGAC